TACTCTATTTAAAAAAAATTGCTAATATTTTCCAAAAGTGAAATGGTGACATAACACAAGTGCTATAGGAAGTAGTATGTATTTCAATAAAAAATTTATTTTAAGGTTAGCATTATGAAAATGTTTTCAATGCTCCAAATTTCTTCCATTGTTTAAGAAAACACAAACATCTACTAAAAATACTTGTGAAATATGTTTACCCATTTACTATTTAATGGAATAAGCATTGTCTCATTTAAATGCTCAAGGATGGCAATAGTCCTATTCATATTATATTAAATAGAGTTGTTTCTTTATCATCTACCTTTAGATCAAGTCTTTAGACTGCTCCAAAGAAGAAATCCAGAACTTAAAAAGCAGTTGGCGGACAGTGAGGGTTTCAGTGACCCAGAAAGAGTGGATACAAACATGAAAACTTCCTAGTTTATCTTACACCTTTATGTACGATAGAAATCTATCGTACAGTTTGTGTCACCATGGAACTGAAAGAAATATTTTTTATTAAATTCTCTGGCAATGAAGTTTCTCTCAGATATTTATTGATAGGAAAATGTAACCTAAAAAGTCTCCTGCCCAGTCCCTCGGCAGCATCCCAGTGTTCCATCTGCTCTGCACAGTTGCACTTCCTTTGCTTTTTTGCTCACAGATGATTTTCTCAAGCATGAAAGGTTGCCTGATAGATTTCAAAACAGTAATTCACAAGATCCAGATAGAAGGCATTCTGTGCTTTTGTCCTTATTTTTCTACTGGAAATATGCAGTGAGGCTAAAACTCGTTTTTAAAAATCTTCCTGTCCCTTTTTTCTCCTGGCTGATGTAGATTTGCTCTGTTATTTTTAAAAATTGGCATTAACTCCAAATGAAAGTAGAAGAGTAACATTTGCAGAAATAAAAATTACTACAGAGCACAGAGGCTTCATACTGAGCAATAATAGTTTTTGTCCAAAATTAAATCCCAAATTAAGAAAACAACCTCTAGATATGTTGTTTTAGCAATTAGTGATCTTGTTGTACACATTTCACTGGGTATTAAGAAACACTTAACACTGCAGCTGTGCAGAAATTATGTTCCTAGTTGAATATAGGGAAAGTTTTACTTATTATAGAGATTCCTTGAAAAACTAAAAGTAGAAATTCCATTGGATCCAACTATCCTCCTTCTAGGTATCTTTCAGAAAGAGTTAAAGACATCATATTACAGTTATATATGCATATCCAAGTCTACAGCAGCACAATCATAGTAGCTAAATCTTGGAACCAGCCTAGATCTCCATCAACAGATGAATGGATAATGAAAATGTGGTATTTACATGCAATGGAGTACTACTCTGCCACAAAGAAAGATAAACTGGGTAATTTGTAGAAAAAAATGGATGCACCTTGAGACCATAATGTTATGCTAAATAAATGAGACACACAGCTTAAAAATCTCATGGCTTCTCTTATATGAGAAACTCAAAATATAAATAAAGAACAAAATAAAAGTGAGCTAATAGGAAGTAGAGAGATCTTTCTCAAATGGGAAGGGCATCGAGAGATGGAGGGAGGGAGGAGGGAAGAAAAGAAGATGGAAAAAGGAATTAAAATGTGTTATGTACATTGTACCAGCTCCACACAGGGAATGTAAATATTATATGTAACCCTCAAAAAGTGAATAAATACAGGCTTTAACTTGAAAGTTACTACTCACCAAAACCTGATGGTTTTCTATATCATATTCAGGAAAGATAGACTATCTATACTGCTGTCCTATTTATCAGTATCTCAGCAACCAATGAGATACTCCAAAGATTAAATGTAAAACATCCTTTATTTATGTAAAATGGATAAAATAAATCTAAAATTAACTTTCATACATTATTTTGATAAGAAGGGAATGACATTCTATCTACTATAATCATAAATACTAATTTTCAAGACTGTACCTTTCTCCCCTTCTGTTTCTAATAGCCAAGCACTTAAAGTGATGCTGGAAATTCCTGTATATGAAGAGATTTTTGGCCAGGGGAGGTGCTATTTGAAACAGCCAGAAGATTAAGCTGGCACCAATTACAAACAAGCTACTGTGATTTCATATTAAACTAGACATTCCTGGTTCACTGGGGCAAGGCTTATTTTTCACAGAATGGGGATAATGAGAGAAGGCATGTAAGAAAAGATGAAAAACCTTTTATTAAATACCATAAAACTATCTGGCATTATTGCACAAACTTGATTGTTGAATAACTTTTAATAGCAGGCTTCTTTTTTATCTGTTCCTTTTAACTTTAGGGGGCAGGGCATTGTCCTGTGCATGGTCGGGAGTGGGGAAGTACTGCAGTTGAATGGTAAAGGCTAAGTGAAGAGGAGATAAAAGATGCAATGATAAAGGAGTAGAAAGAGGGAGTTATATATAAGGAATCATTAATGCAAAGTCCACTGTGCCACAGAGAGAATAGCTCCTCAGGGAATAGCTGGTGCCCCCAACTTTCTCAAGCTTTGTCTTTGCAGACAGCAAGTCTAGGAAGGTCCTAGACTTAAAGGCCCTAGCTAGCAGCTGCCTGGCTCTGCCTCATAATGGATTTCTTAATATCCTCAGTTAAGGTCACCTGAAACATGGAGGAGCTCTTCAGTTACTGAGGTCTGTCCAAAACACCCCTGAATTTTACATAGTCCTAAGATGGAATCTTATGAATTGAGAAGTCCCAAATCCATGGTTTTCTAGATACAATCATCTAAACAGCTTTAGCCTTTGTTAGAACAGTGTAGGAGCCCTGATAAAGTAGACAAATTTGGCAGTTGCTTCTTTTTTTTATCTCCTGATGGAGTATACAGCACCTTCAATGGATACCAACACCATCCTGAAACTTTAAAATTAGTCAGTGGCAATTGTATATTCTGAAAATTTTATAAGGCAGACAAATATCCTTACATTTAACTTCTAAAAGTTCTGGAGTTTCTGACAAATTGGTGTTTTAATCCTGAAATTTGTCTTAAGATGAATTTGTAAATATACAGACAGAAAATGATTTTTCCCATTCACATGGCACTATTTCAATAGTGTTATCCAATGGTTCTCAGTCCCAGGGAAGGAGGTAAAGGGTGATCTGGGCCCCTAAGAGACATGTGGCAATTTCTGGTAACATTTTTGGTTGTCACCACTGAAGAGTGTTTTAGTAGACAAAACTAGGAATGTTGCTAAATATCCTACAATGCACTGGGCAGCCACTCCTAAAAAAAATGATCTCAAAGTGGTCCAAAATGTCTATAGCACTGGGGTTGAGAAACCCTGATCTAACCGAAATACTCTAAATATTATTAACACATAGGGTAAGATTATGAAGTTGTTATTCGCAATAAGAACCAATTTGCACAAACATAATTTGAAACACAGATTTTAACAAAAACTGTATGTGAGTTATACTGGGGAAAATATCTATTTGTTATTTGAGAAAAAACTGAATATCAAAAAGTAGATATTTTTATTCATAAGAGCATTCATAGACAATCTTGGATAAACTGAAAACATAACTTTTTTAAGACACTGTCCTGAGAAATCAGGGGACAAAATGGTAATAAGCTATCTTACTCATAAATTTTAAAATATTACCAAGTTGCTATTCATCAAACATATTAATATGCCATCTAAAAATGGGTCCAGTCTGAAGTTATGATATATAACAGCCATAAGATGATTGCACAAGCTTGGATTTATTATGAAATTTTTGAGTTTCTTCAGTTATAGGGCAATATTTTTATTAAGTTATCCTCTGATCTGGAAGACATTATGGTATGTTCAGACATTTATTCCAGCCCACTTCCTCTATTTTTCCTTGCCTGAAAAATCTCCCATTAAGTTAGTCGGGATGAGACACCACTTACTGTGGGAATCACTCTGAAGTTAGCCCTTAAGAACAACAGTTCCAATTAGCTAAACATTTACCAATAGGATAAGCAAAATCATTTTTATAGCTCCACTAAAGAAATACTTTATTAAAATAGTGAAAAGGGAAACAGTTTCATCAAAATAAGAGCTTTATACACACCCACTCTATGGGGAAGGGAAGGAGAACTTCTAAATGAATAAAGAAGTGAATCCTTAAATTCTAGCCTACATAAATCAAGTCTAGATAGGTTGCATTTAGCTCAGGTTTCAGAGACATATTTTCATAAATATTATCTTAATAATGAATCTATAATCTTAACTGTCCTATTAAGGTCATGTTAATTGAATCTTATTGGCCAGAAAAATGAGTCAACTACTTTGGGATATGACAGTATTATTTGTGATACCTATTGCAAATGTCTTAGTAATCCCACAAAAAACATAAATGTGAGTACAGGACAAAGAGTTAGCAGGAAAGAAGCCTTAACGCTAGATTTTCAGACAGCTTGGGCCCACTCTTGAACTATGGAAATGACTTTATCCTTTGGATAAAACACCTTAAAATCTGGAATTAGAGTAATGAGGAAAATTACATTTTACAAAACATTACTTGGTTGTACTCTATCTTTTCCTGGTAATCAATATTAAGTACTCACTGAAGGATTCTTGCCCTGTATTCTTGAGAAACAGTTGTTGGGTAACAAGTTCCAATGCTCAAAGAGTCAGCTTGCTTGGGAGAATAGAGGTAAAGAGTACATTAGTCAGTGCTTTCAAGGGCTTGTAGGGCTGGAGGAAAGACTCCTCAAAAGATTGCATATGCTCTGAATCAGATTTAATGCAGGACACAGAAATTTACAAGATTGGCCCACAATGGCTGCCCACCAGGGGTCAGATGCAGAAGAGTGCAAAAGATCTCTCTGGGTGCTAGAGATCCAGAGGATCCAGCCAAAGGTCTAGAGCCCACAGCAATGTCTCACACAAGTCCACACCAGGAGGATCAGCGATGAAATGTGAGCGGTCTTGACCAGGAATTTGAAGGGTCAGCGCTAGAAGCTAAAGAGTCAAGCTAAAGAGTCTGAGCTGGCAATCAAAAGGTCGGTGCTGGGAGCTGAAGACTGTGCCCCAAAAGCCAGACGATGGTGTCCAAGATGAAGGTGAAGACTAGGGTGGGTGAAGACCAGAGCACCTCCAAAGAGAACAGCCAAAGTTCCCCAGAGGAAAATCAGCTGAAATCTTTCCGTCCCATTCTTCTTTTACACCGTTCCCGTATCAATCCTCCTGAAAATGGGTCTCCCACACCCAGCACCTTGCTGACTCAATGGAGCTAGGCAGGCATTCCCACTCAAGTTGACAATCAATGAACCACCACAAGGAGGTACTAAAAATCAGTTGATAGAATATCTAAGTCACCATTTTGGATTTAATTGAACATAAATAAAATTGAGAAAGAAAAAAAAATGGCACGGGCAAGCCAGATGATGTGTGGAAGAGGAGCGGCACCTGGCCTGGTAGCATACACAATAGCTAGATAAAGTTTTGATTTAATTATAATAAATATTAGGTTTGCTTTCCAAAGCATTTTCCCCCATTCAGCTCCTGTTTTCTTTTATAAATTTTATTATTTCAAAATAGTCTTTTTCCTTCAGAAAAACTAATTCTTCAAATCCCAGTTCCTACAAGGGGACATGATGTGTGCAGCTGGCATTTGGCAACTGTCTACGAGCAAATCGAAGCCCCCTTACCCGAGTCTAGGACTATTATTTTGCTTTTGATAAATTTTCACCGGGTTCTCCTCAAACACATCTGAATTTGGCAGACCATAACCCCTTTCTGAACATGCAAAATCCTCCCTTTCGAAAGCTTAGAGTTGATTGTCAGCAGGCTGATGTACGTTCCACACTGGTTCTGTGCTAGGGTTCTATTAATGGACTGTAGTCCCTACAAGACAATTACAGTCGTGGTTGTAGTTCCACAGCGCAGGCAGACCTCCCTTCAGGGTATGAAGTTGGGACTCCTGGTCGCTGAAGAGTTGGTCCTCTTGTGTGGTTTCCCGACAATCTCACGTTGAGGCAGCAGCGATGGAAGCTTACTTTAGGGACCCTCTAACAGCTAGCTTGCTTGTTTTCTTTCTTTCCTTTTTTGGGAGCGGGGGTGGGAGGAGATCCATATTTTCTTGGCATATTTTTGGCCATATTTTAAATTTTTTTTCAAATTTTTATTAGTGTATGTTCGCAATACATATTAATCACACTCATCACGAGGAGTTGGTACATGAACATAATATATCTTAATCCTTGTTTCCCCCTCTTCTCCCTCCCCTCCGCACGTCCATCTCGATTCCTCCTTTCCCATTTGCAAAAGATCTCCCCAGTCCTATTATCTACTTTGATTTTTGCTCTTTAAATTGTTTATACTTTGAGTTTCTCATGGAATAGAAAGCATGGGATATTTAAGCTTGTGTGTGGCTTTTCATGCAGCGTTTAATTCTCACACAACTCGGTGAGGCAGGTGCCCCAGCTGGACCCTAGGCGCACGCTGTCCTTGAGCTACCTGGGGCACCTCCCGGGGACAACCTGTCAGCTCTTCGGCCTCGCAGTCCCAGGAGCTCCACCTCGCCGGGCCGCTCCCCCCAGCCGGCAGGGCAGGGTGTGACTCGGGCAGCAGGAGAGGCGTCCCGGCTCTGG